CGGCCGCGACGCCCTGTCCCGAACCGAAAACGGCCACCTTCTCAATCGACGCGTCAGGGTAGGAGGTCTGTCCACCCCCGAGGGCTCTGTGGCGGTTCTCTCAGGCCGCCTTGGGGCCACCTCGGGCTGCCGTGTGCCGTCTGCGGGCCTTCTGGGGCTCGAGGAGCCAATGCCGCTGCTCCCCGGGCCTCTCCCAGGGCGCACTCTGGCCAGGATCTCGAGGCGAATCGGGCGGTGGCGGCGAGGGCACTCCGTGAAGCTCCCCAAACAAGGGAAAAACAAGCGAATCGTAGCGGCATGGGTACCATTTTGAGGGGCGACGATAGGGGGGTGCTGGCACGAGCGGGGATGCATCGACAGGGAATCGGCGACAGAAGCCACGACGAGAATAGGGTTAAGATAAATCGAGAATTTCTGAGAAACGGCGGCTCTGGAGGATATCTCGGACGCCGCGGCCTTGTCAGAGCATCCCGGAACGCTCCGAGAGCGCTCCGGAACGTTCTGGCGCGGATCTATCCTCGTCCAGGCCCCATCCGATGTTCCTCCCTCGCCCTCGCCCTCGTCCTGGCCCCATCCTGTGCCCATCCCGCCCCTAGCGTTGCCCCGTCCTGTGCCCATTCCCGCACCTATCGCGCCAATCCCAGACTGTTCCTCGTCCAAGACCTTCTCCTCCTCCTCCTCCTCCTCCTCCTCCACCTTCTTTCTCTTCCTCCTCCTCCTCCTCCTCATTCTCCTCCTCCTCCTCGACGACGAGGGGGAGGAGAACGAGGAGGAGGAGGAGGTGAGGAGGAGGAGTAGAACGAGGAGGAGGAGGAGGAGGAGGAGGAGGAGGAGGAGGAGGAGTAGAACGAGGAGGAGGGAGGAGGAGGAGGAGGAGGAGGGGGGAGAGGGGGGAGGGGACGAGGGGGAAGGAGGAGGGGAGGGAGGAGGAGGAGGAGGAGGAGGAGGAAGAGGAGGAAGAGGAGGAGGCGGAGGAAGGTGGGGACGAGGAGGCGGAGCAGGAGGAGGAGGGGAGAGGAGGAGGAGGAGGAGGAGGAGGAAGGAGGGAGGAGGAGCGAGGAAGGGGAGGAGGAGAAGGAGAAGTCTCCCCCCGTGCGCGCGAAGGCGCCGAGGCTCCTGGAGGAGCAGCCGCTCGTGGCCGGGGCGCGCGTCCCGCAGGCGCGTAGCCCCG